GTTGGATGAACAACTCGGCGAGTCCTATGAAGATTTCCTGGAACTCGGCGAGTTGTTATTCAAACTCGGCGAGTCGGGTCACGAGTTGGTTCAATCATCCCAAGTCATGAGTTAAGGGTGATTCAGTGAGTGGGAAGAAGGACTGGTTGAGTAGGATCGGGTTAGTAGGAAAAGGACTCGGCGAGTCCAGTCAAATGGACATTGACTTTGACCAAGGAGTTGACCTTGGACCAAGGGAGGTTCAGTCTTTTGACCTAAGAGTATTTATGGGTGTCTAACTGATGTTTATGGTTTATAGCCGGAGGATTTGCGATCCAGCAGTCAGACGCTCAGCAAGCAGACTTCAACAGCTACTTTCGAGTTGAGTTACCTTCCAGTAGCGGTGGGTATAAGGCCACAATGCCGGCCCACCAGTAGGAGACGTATGATAGATGATGGTCTTTGTGATATCATCTAGGTTTGCTATTACCTGATACGTTATATGCTAGCATGATATGTTATATGTGATAGTAGTAGAGTTCGGTTGTTAGGACCGGAGGGTAGTCAGACACCCCAGATACGTCTGACAGTATGTGATGTTATGTTTATATGCTAGCGTGATCTGTTATATGAGTTAGAGGTAGTAGGAGGGGAGCAGTCCCCGAGTTCGGTTATTAGGACCGAAGGGTAGTTCAGACACGCCAGATAGGTCTGATAATCTGTTACGTTATAATATGTGATAGTAGTAGTAGTAGGGGTGAAATAGTCCCCGAGGTTCGGTCGTTAGGACCGAAGGGTAGTCAGCACCCCATAATGGCTTGACATGGGTAGTCAGCACCCCAGAATGGCTTGACACGGGTAGGTCGGCATCCCAGAATGGTCGTACCGGGTAGGTCGGGCACCCCAGAAATGCCTGGAAATATGTATGATATGTGATTGTATGGTATGTGGTATGATGGGGGAACTCACTAAGCTTCGTGCTTACAGTTTTTAGTTTTGGTTTCAGGTACCTCTTCTTCGAAGGGGAAGGAGCTGGCGTGGTAGCAGCACATCACACACACGCTTGTATTCCGCACTATGAGATCTTCCTGTGGATTTGTACTTTGACTTTGTTATGTTCTTATAAACTGGTTTCCAGACACGCCCATCTTTTATGAAATGATATGATCGGTGAATGTTTTATTTCTAATGTTTTGCTAAGTATGTGTATTTAAAAATGAAATTTTTGGCTCGTATTTTTTGGATGTTACAGGAACCCAATTATTAATTGGGTGATATTTTGATGTTGACAGATCGGGAATCTGTCATCTAGCAACTGGGGTCGAGTCTGTGGGACTTCAGCAGTGTGGGATTGAGCCTGCGGGACTTCAACAGTGTGAGGTGAGTTTCCTTCCAGTAGGAATGGGTCTAAGGCCACAATGCTGGCCCGTTTAATTAGTAGTAGTTTCCGGACCTCGGTCCGATGCAGTAGTTAGAATGTTTGATGCCTTCGTGGCTCAGGTGGTGTTTATGTGTTATGTGTTCCGGGCTACGACCCGATGCAGTATGCAGTTTATGTGTGTATGCTAGTTGATATGTTTATGTTATGCTATGTTATGCTCAATTAGTTTCTGGACTTCGGTCCGATGCAGTTAGTTCCGGACTTCGGTCCAATGCAGGGTACAAGGTCCCACTCAGTTCCGGACTTTGGTCCGATGTAGTTAGTTCCGGACTTCGGTCCGATGTAGTTATTTCCGGACTTCGGTCCGATGCAGGGGACAAGGTCCTAGTTAGTTCCGGACTTCGGTCTGATGCAGTTTCCGGACTTTGGTCCGATGCAGTGGGCAAGGCCCAATATGTGTTTATATGTTATTGTATGGTATGTGGTAGTTTGGGGGAGCTCACTAAGCTTCGTGCTTACAGTTTCAGTTTTGGTTTTAGGTACTTAGTTTTCAAAAAAGGAGATCGGGATGATTCCAGTGCACACACCATTTATTCAGCCTGGGATGTTTGTACTCTGATATTTTTGACAGTTGTTATAATATTTTGAGATACATTGCTTATGATTTCTATATGAGGTTTATTAACTATGGTTTTATCATTAAATTAAACGAAATTTTTAGACTGTGTTTTTGGGATGTTACATAAATCATCGGTATCCATATTCAAAATATTCAAGAAATTTTGTGTTATACATTTCATGAGTATCCCCTGTATGTTTGAATTTGTGTTGGCATGATTAATATGTTGAATTTGATGAATTGAATTGATTAGTATGTGATTGGGTTTTCAGGTTTCTAAGTTGATTAGGTTTAAATATCTCTTTGTGAACTTTAGTTAAAGGTTATGCAAACTTTTTGTACCATATGAATGAGAAATAAGGTAAGGAGTTACTCATATGTAAAGAAATATTTATAAGGAGAGTTTTTAGTTTTCAAATATAAATATTGATTGGAATCATCACAACAGGAACGAATACAGAATCTTTAACGTTTGTTAATCATGAGAAGAATTTCATTTTGTTGTTTTTTTAGGCTATAATGGGATTTCTTTTAAACCTTAAAAGTCCTTGTTGGAAAAGGACTTTGTGTAAAATACATGAATCTGCTTCTTTTTGCCGACCCTCATTTACTCTTGCCTAAGAGTTAAAATAAAAAGACATTTTCATTTTGCCAAACGACTTTTTGGCTTTTTGAAAAAGATAAAATCAAAAGATGGTTTAAAAAGGTATCCCAAACAGACCCTTAATATCAATTATAGTGGGAGACAAATAAAAGTATATTGGCATTACATGTTAAAATGAAAGTGGGATGTTATGACTTAAAATTTGAAATGTAAGGTCGTTATAACGTAAAATTTTACATATAAGGTCCCTAAGAAATAAGTTAGAAATAAATAAAAAAATCAAAAATAAGGAAAAAAAATGAAAACAATGATGATATAACTATTGAAAAAAGGAAGTATATTGCCATAGAAAAAAGGTTCCTCGTTCAAAATGATTAACAGAAATATAAACAGCTTTTAAATTTAATCTGGTATAATGATCGTCGGTTGAACAAAATTAACATAATTGGTCCTTGTATAAAAAGATTACAAAATTGTTCTTTAAATATAAAAAGATCAATAAATTGCCAGTGTTTAAAAACATTAAAAATAATGGTCCTTTAAATAAAAAATAACAATAAATAGTCGGTGTTCATCCAAGATTAACAGAAACAGAAACAGTTTATAAACTGGTATAATAGTCCATGTTTGAACAAAAATAATATAACTGGTACCTGTATAAATAGATTTACAAAAATGATCCTTTAAATATAAAAAGAGCAATAAACGGTAAGTGTTTAAAAATATTAACATAAGTGGTCCCTATGTATTAGAGAAATAGCAAAAAATGGTCCTTTAAATAAAAAATATAAATAAATGATGAGTGTTTAAAAGGATTAAAAGAAGTCTGGAAACAGTTTATAAAACTGATATAATGGACATTGTTTGAACAAAAATAACATAACTGGTTCGTGTTTAAAAAGATTAAAAAAAACCCTTTATATAAAAGGATAGCAATAACTGGTCGATGTTTAAAAACATTAACAGAAATATTAAAATAAATAAATAAATACAACAGTAATGATTAAGAAATTCAAAAATTAAATGGTATAAACTTTCGTGTAATCCTTAAAATTCTTATCCTCCTTAATAAATAAAGGTATTTTTGTTACCTGTCAATCTCTCATGAGTTTTAACACTTATCATCCTCCTTAATAAATGAAGGTTTTTTTGCCACATGTCAATCTTTCATGAGTTTTGACACTTGTTATTTTGTAGTAATTTTGAAATAAATATTATCCATTTATCAATTTTTTGTTTGTTTCAATTTTTAAATTAAAATCATATATTTATATATGTAAAGTATTAAATATCATATATATGATATTAAATTACAATAAATACATTTCTTCATTTCTAATTTTAAAGTTATACATTAAAAAATATTTTCTGTTTACACTTTAATGTTTAATTTTTTTTTAAAATCAAACCGTATAATATACGGGTCTCACACCTATTTTGTAATATTTTTGAATTAAATATTATCCACTTGTTAATTTTTGGTTTGTTTCAATTTTAAAATTAAAATCGTATACTTATATATGTAAAGTATTAAGTATCATATATATGATATTAAATTGCAATAAATACATTTCTTCCTTTTTTATATTAAAATTGTACATTAAAAAATATTTTATGTTTATATTTTAATGCATAATCTTTTTATAAATCAATCCATGTAATACACGCGTCTCCCACCTAGTAATTGTATCAAAGTAAGTTGAAATTTTGAAAAAAATAACAAAAATATTGATATTAGATGCCGATTTTATTTTAAAGGGATTTGAATTTAATTATGGTCGGATATTTAATGAGTCACCAGGGTATAAAGGTAAGTTTTATTGGACCGGATATATACAGCTATAGTTTCTATAAAAGATTTAGATAATCAGAATTATTTTTTCTAGATTTATATTAGCATAAGGCAGTTTAGAAATCACTATATTAGACTAGAATACTAAAAACCTATATAAGGAAATCCAACTTATTGCCTTGTTGTCTAAGAAATCTTGTTGCCTAAGTTTCCTTCTAATTAGTATATATATAAGATGTAATCGTCGTCTTTTTAATTCATTGATCGAATCAAGTTTTAATAAGATTTCGCAAGTAATTTTTTTTCTCTCCTCTGTTTTCTGTTATTCCCCTGTGTTCGTCCCTTCTTCTACACTCCTGTTCTTCTGTTTTCTTTTATCTCGGTGAACAAGGTAATGATGCATCTTGTTAATTCCAATCGCCCTAAAGTGGATCTTTCATATGCTGAAATGGGAAAAGTTTTGTTGAGATTTGCACCTGAACCAAGTGGCTATCTCCACATAGGCCATGCAAAAGCCGTTTTATTGAACCAATATTTTGCTTAGAAATACAAAGGGAAACTATTCCTACGGTTTGATGACACAAATCCTGCAAAGGAAAGCAACGAATTTGTTGATAATATTTTAATGGATATCGCGACATTGGGAATCAAATATGAAAAAATCACTTATACTTCCGATTACTTTCCGAATCTCATGGAAATGGCTGAAAAGTTGATCAAAAAAGGGAAAACATGCGTCGACGACACCCCCAAAGAACAGATGAGATACGAGCGAGAGAAGAAAATAGAATCAAAGTGTCGGAATCAGAGTGTAGATGAAAACCTCAAACTATGGAACGAGATGGTTCTTGGAACGGAAAAGGGAGTTCAATGTTGTTTAAGAGGAAAATTGGACATAACCGATAACAATGGATCAATGCGGGACCCGACTTATTATCGGTGTAATCCGATTCCACATCACCGAGTCGGATCAAAGTATAAAATATATCCAACTTATGATTTTGCATGTCCTTTTGTTGATTCTATTGAAGGGATTACACACGCGTTGAGATCCAGCGAGTATCATGATAGAAATCCTCATTATTCAAGGATTCAAGAGGAAATTGGGGTTAGGAAAGTTCATTTGTATGAATTTAGCAGGTTGAATATGGTTTATACAGTTTTAAGTAAACGGAAGTTGCTTTGGTTTGTTGAAAAGAACAAGGTTAATGGATGGGATGATGCTTGTTTTCCAACTGTCCAAGGAATTGTGCGCAGAGGCTTACAAATTCAGGCTTTAATACACTTTATACTTGACCAAGTAAGTATATTCTACAATCTAAATTACTAACTTAGTTTCGGTAGTTTTTTTTTTTAATGATGGAACTGAGAAGGAATGGAATGGAATGTTTGTTTCGTGTTGGAATGGAATGGACCAATCCTAAACAAAGTTTCCTTCTGTTTTGTTAATTTTTTACCCCTTAATCATTGAACGGAATGGAAATTTGCAATACATTTTTTTTAACAAAATTTGATGTTTTCAGTTAACTTACGTTTTCATTTTCTAAAAATAACAACAAAATCTTAATATTCTTTTTTCACAGGGAGCATCAATGAATCTGAATGTTATGGAATGGGACAAACTCTGGAGCATTAACAAAAAAATGATCGACCCTGTTTGCCCAGACACACTGCAGTCCTTGAAGAGAACCGGGTCTTGTTGACATTATTAGATGGGCCCCACAAGCCATTTGTGCGTGTCATACCAAAGCACAAGAAATACGTCGCTGCAGGGGATAAATCCATCGCTTTTACCAAAAAGATTTGGATAGAACAAGCCGATGCTAAGGCCATATCCCCTAACGAGGAAATTACGTTAATGGACTGGGGAAATGCAATTGTTAGAGAAATCAAAAAGGACAAAAACAGAAATGTGACCGACTTAATCGGGGTTTTGCATCCTGAGGGATCGTTTAAGACAACTAAACTGAAACTCACGTGGTTGCCTCACACTAACGAGCTTGTTCCTTTAACTCTAGTGGAGTTTGGATACCTGATCACGAAAAAGAAGGTATGAATGATAATTGATTAATAGTAGCATATCCATATCTTGTGTGTGTGTGTGAAAAGTCATAAATGCCCCTTAACTTACTTATAATTAATTAATTAATTAATTGTGTGTTTTTTATGCAGATGAAAAAAGAAAAGGATTTTATTCCGGTGTTGAACAGGGATACAAAGAAAGAGATTGGGGGAGTTGGGGATTCAAACATGAGAAGACTGAAGTGTGGAGACATATTGCAGTTGGAGAGGAAAGGCTACTTCAGATGCGATGTTCCTTTCATAACACCTTCAAAACCCATTGTTCTCTTTGCTGTTCCAGATAGCAGGCAAACTGCAACCACCAAATAATAAAAATAATTTGTTAGTTAATAAACATGGATTACAAGATTTTGGGACTAATTGTGTTTTCATTTGATATTATAGTTACCTGTAGTTACTCACTTTTGCTATGTTTATTCTTTCTTCAAATTAGTTCTTAACCTCATGTATATATTACAAAATGTTGGAGCGACCTAACCAAATCCTATTTGTGTGTTAAATCCCATTTGTCTATAACTTCCGATATTGGTCCCTCCTACTAAAAGTCGTGGGTTAAAGTTTTTTCTGGTAGTAGATGTTTTCGAATGGTTTTGTTTCATGAGATTTACTTGCTTATTGGATAAACATTCTCATCTTCTAATCCTGTAATAAAACAACTTTATGCATCACCGAGTAAAGAACTGCAACATACATTTGATACCATTAAATGCATAAGTCATGGTTTATTATACCCAAAAACCGCTTGTTAATGAACCAGTAAAAATCGGCTCAATATGTGAAAACTAGGGTTGTGCATGGGTCGGTTTTGAACCCTAACCCAACCCGTAAATGATCGGTTTCTGGTTTTCAGAACCTAATAGGGTCGGTTTCTGTAACGCCCGCAGATCCGGGCTAGTCAATTTAGAGGCAATAAGGGTCAAAAATGACTTTTCGACAAAAGATTATTTAGAATGAATAGTCTTAACCAAGTTTTATAATATGTCACAAGGTTTCCGTACATATAAAGAACGCCGAAATCCAAGTTATAACGAAGAACTTATGGCCCGCCGAAGTTTTACGGCAAAACCGGCACGGCACCGGAAGATGTAAATAGTGAATTTACGATAGAAGACTTTTTAGCCTTAGCAATCTAAACAAAAGTCGTAGAATATCTTAAACTAAGAGCGTCGATAAAAAGAACGCCCAAATCTGACTTCGTATGAGGAAGTTATGATTTTTCTAAGATTCGGCTTAGCAGTATACAGCCCGAAACTCGAATTTTAGTTTGAGAGGTTTTTGGCTTACGTGAAATAAATGAGAGTTGAAGATCTCATTAATAGGAACTCAATGGTAAAAAGACAGACGAAAACGGAGTCCGTATGAAGGAGTTACGAATTCTTCGCGGTCATTTAACAGTCTAAACGCCTCGTACTGTTAAATTTAAGATCGGTCGAGAATTAGCCGACGGAGATATTATTTTTACCTACGCGTGGATATAAAGAACGTCAAAAACGGAGGTCGTATGTGAAAGTTATGGATTTTAGAAGTCGGAAGTGTGTTGGGGTGATGTGGCACAATCTTGAGCATTGCTTTCTCCCCAAGTCTTGCCACTAGATGGTGACATGTGGCACCAAGTTCAGCCATTTTCACCCTATAAATACCACCTCTCCCACCCTCATTTTCTTCACACCTTTCCCATTCTTTCTTCTCTTTACTCTCTCTCTAGAACCTCTCTCTAGCCCCGAAATCCCCCGAAAAGCCTAGGGAACCTCCCTAGCACGAGGCGGAAGCCCCGGAGTGCTCAACGGCTCCGAGAAGAAGAGCTTTTCGGCTTGGAAACACTGCTCCAAGCAAAGCCTGGTTTTCTATAAAACACGTTGTAAGTGAGCTACGCCTACACTATTTTTAATATAGTTTTTATTTAATTATATTAACGTTATTAAGAACATATAATAAATACTTGGGCTATTATTATGGGTTATATAAGTATTTTTTTTAACGCTTATATAATAGTAATAATATCTAGACTATTAATTAGTCTCGGTGAATAATAGACTAAAGTCTATTGGTGATAATACTAGGTTTCGTCGAAGGAAATTATTTTAAAGTAAATGAAGCGCTGTCCGAGTACCGAGTCACCACCTTCTCAGGTGAGTGCATAGTCCCTTTCATGAACATGATTTTAATACAAGTATTGATTGAAGTATTGATTATATGTTTATGTGCGAGTTAATTGATGTTGCTTGAAATTCGTGTTAAACAACATACCTGATTATATTTGATAATTTAGGATAAAGAGTAGACCTAAATTAAATATGAGGAATATTGGGTAGTATATTCTTACGAGTACAAGTGAGTTAAACTCAGAGAATAGAAGTTAGTATATGTCACTTATCCGGGAGTATGGATTAGACATAGTCATTGTCCCTAGTCCGAGAATATGGATTAGGCATAATCATTCGTCGTTAATCCGAGAGTATGGATTAGCTATTGTCCCTAGTCCGAGAGTATGGATTAGGCATAATCATTCATCTTTAATCCGAGAGTATGGATTAGTCATTCGTCCCTAGTCCGAGAGTATGGATTTGGTAAATTCGTTCATTTCTGATCCGAGAGTATGGAGTAGGTAAAACGACTAATCTTAGGTCCGAGAGTATGGATAGCCTCGTTGCGAGGATCGACGGGGTGGGATAAGAGTTGTTTATATATATGTATGGTGAAATTGTATATTTTGTGAATTTTAAACTATATATATGGTATAACATTGTGGGATTGAAATCCCTATGTGCTCACCAGGTTTCCCAACCTGACCCACTCAGTTTATTTATATCACAGGTGTTGATATGAAGTGACATTACACTGAGAGATTTAAAGAGATGTAGACCACTAGTGTGAATAATTCTAAGTTCTGTTTATGCTTATGTTCATGTATTAACGATGACATCCCAAACGTTTTAAAATGAAATAAATACGTTTCTTCGAAAATGTTTTAATAACGTATTTACCATGTTTTTCTGGGAACAAATTCCGCAACCTTTTTATAAAATGAAGTACTCTGATTTTTATAAAGCATAAACAAAATCGGTCTTTTCTGGCCGTGATTTTGGGGATGTCACAGTTTCTGGTCGGTTCGGTTTCTCAATTTCTGATATCGGTTTGGGCGGTTTCTCGGTTTCTTAGGTTCAACCCATACACTTACGGTTTCTGGGTTTAAACCCATGGACTTTGGGTTTAAACCCATTTTCCAGAAATGTAACAATTAGTTAAATAATTAAAAAAGCACCTAAGCTTCTTTTATTTATTTTTTTATTTTTTAATATATATATATATATATATATAAAATAATCAGTAAAAAACATCGGGTTTGCGGGTTTGTTGGGTCGGTTTCTCGGTTTTAAAGAGGGGTCGGTTTCTCGGGTTGTTGGGTCGGTTTCTGGGGGCAAAACCGAAACCGAACCCGGAAAGTCGCTTTTTACAAATTTAAAACCCACATCGTTGGTTTTGATTCGGTTTCGGTTTCGTCGGTTTCTCGGTTTGGGTTTACTCACCCCTAGTAAAAACTGAATTTGTATGACTAAATCCGGTTTACACCAGGGGTAAGTAGCATGAACCAGACTTGAATTACCGAGTAGAAGCTTCCTTTAAACTTGAAAACTGGAATATATATTAATACAACTAGACAAATATCCGCAGAATAAAATTATATGGTTAAATTTTTGGTAATCATACGTTATTGAAAATATTTATGTCATTTTTATTAACTATATAATAATAATAATTACATTTAGTTGATGTAAAACTATAATTAATTTGAACAATAAATAATATAACACTTATGAAAATTAAATCATTTAATGGTCTCTGCTCACGTTTTACATGTGTATAAAATTAATTGTGGTGACTTACTAAGACATGTGGAAAATATGATGAATAAACTATTAATTCATATTCAAATTATCACACTACTCCAGTGCATGATGCATAACCATATATTTGCATCGAGAGATTATTCGGGTATGGGACCCTCGTTAAGGAAGTTTTCTTTCCAGAATAAAATAATTATATTACTCACTATTTTAATTAACTATTGTTATAATTTATGAAATTTAAATTCTTTTGATAATGTTTTAATTTCATCATATATATTATTTAAATTATCAACCACTATTTTTAATGTAACATAATTTACCCTGCCGACTTCTAAACCCCATAACTTTCGCATACAAGATCTTTTTTTGATGTTCTTTATATCCACGCGTAGGTGAAAACAAGATCTACAACTTTCATTTAGACTCTATCGGCTAATTCTCGACCGATATTAAATTTAATAGTAGGAGGTGATTATACTGTTAAATGTCTGCGTAAAATTCATAACTTCTACATATGGACTCCATTTTCGTCTATCTTTTTATCGTTGAGCTTATATTAATGATATCTTCAACTCTTATTTAGGTCGTGTAGTCCAAAAACCGCTCGAACTAAAATTCGAGTTTCGGACCGTGCACTACTATGTCAAATCTTAGAAAATTCATAACTTCCTCATACGAAGTCAGATTTGGGCATTCTTTTTATGGACGCTCTCAATTTAACGTATACTACAACTTTTTTTTGGGTCACCAAGGCTAAAAAGTCCTTTATAAAAAATTCACTATTTACGTCTCCCGGTGTTGTGCTGATTTTGCTGTAAAACTTCGACGGGCCATAACTTCTTCGTTATAACTCGGATTTCGGCATTCTTTATATGTACAGAACCCTTGAGACATATTCTAAAGCTTGGTTAAGGTTATTTATTAAAATGTCATTTTCGACCCCTATTATCTCTAAATTGACTAGCCCGAATATATAGGCGTTACAAATCCGAATCAGGAATCGGGGCAAGCTTGGTTCCCGATACATCGGGCCTTTCAGGGTGACTGTCAGGGTGGGTAGGGTAGCATACATTTTGGATCTATCTGCAAATTTGAGTCAGATTTATAACACCTTCCACGTATCTCAGCTGAGGAAGTGTGTAGCCAATGAGATGGTAATGGTACCACGAGAGGACATTCAGGTGGATGTGAGCTTGAATTACATTGAGCGAATGATTGCAATCATGGATCAAAAGGTGAAGGTTCTGAGGAACAAGGAGGTAACCCTGGTTCAGGGCCAGTGGCAACATTGGAGAGGGTCCGAGTTGATGTGGGAGTCGGAGTCCGAGACGCGAGAGCAATATCCAGAGTTATTTTCAGATGATGATTTCGGGGGAGAAGTCTGATTCTAGTGGGGGAGAATTGTAACATCTGGACATCCAGCTATATTATTTATTTATTTATTTCTTGAGCTACTCGACGAGTCGGTGCCCCAACTCGTCGAGTAGAGTCACGA